ATATATGAAACTTATCTCTTTTCCCTGTGCTATATTTGGATCATCTAGAAACTTCTGAAGACTCCAGTGATTGTCCTTTTATTCCAGATTTAAATAGTTTATATATATGTAATTTGATAAGATACATTCATTTTAAGGCCCTACTACAGTTCTGAGTAGAATTTTCCTGTAAATCACACTGTAACATCAGACTACTTTGGATCTCTTGCACTGTGTTTTCTGCCAACCTCTTCCAACATGATACCATCTAAAAGGTTTAATTATCATACTTTCTTCTTGAATCTTCCAAATTAAGGATAATCATTGCTTAATATCTGTCTATTGATGTCTCACTCCTTTCCAATATCTGTTTTACCTGGGTTACAAACCACATGATCATGTTTAGCATATTCACTCATTTAATAATTTTGAATTCTGATTGAAGTAACACTGCCACATTTATTCTTAATAACTTTGTTACTTACTGTCCAATGTTTGACAGATGCCCCAAATTCTCTCATTTTAGTGATTTTGTTAAGTACTGAGAATTTACATTTATATCTCAAGAGGAGAGAACAGCTGAATTCAAATGCCCTTCAACTGCTATGAGGAAACAACGTACCCAAAGGGATGTGCTTCCTTTTAATCCCAGTCAGTAGTGGCAGGAGTAACTATACATGGTTTTACCAATACTTCATCCATTTCCCTGCTCCAAGACGGTTACCATACTTCATTCCCAATTACAGTACCCTAGTGCCTCCTTGCTATTCAGTACACTCCTTATAATTCAGTAAGTTAGGCGGCTCCTTTCTTATTCCGTACATAGCAGATGGGAATAACATTCATTTATATATATATTCAGTATGTCTGGACTCTCAAATCAACAGCTGTATTTGGACTTCCATATGTACTGGCCATAACTCTTTTCCATATGACTTTTTTAATCCCCAGTAAATAAAACTGTTTTGACAGTATGACATGCTATCTCTTTTTTTTTTTTAATTTCACCTATTGAAAATAATTTTTTTTCAACTTACAAGGAATTACTGTTACACACATATTCAACATCTGACATCAACGCCCCAAAAAGCCCAACGAAATCTGAGAAAAGCATGAGGACCTACAAAAACAATTTATAAAATTGTGAGGTGATACAGTAGCAACTTAGTTGTAACATCTCATTTATCCTAACTCCTAGATATGTTGTGATCTCAATTCTATAAATGCACAGTCACGAGCAGAATATGGATATTTAAAAGCAATAGAAGAACTCGGTGAAGATGGAGCAACAGTGACAGCAAGCACTATAAAAATGTTATATATTCCTTGCTATCAGGAACAAAATATTGCCCAAAGTACTGGAAGACTATCTTCTAATGTTTGCTAACCATCGCAGTAGGAATAGGTACTTTGCAATACTTGTTCCTAAATACTCATGGATCTCAGCACAGGCATTTATAAAACCACTGAGCTGATTCACATTTTCTTGACTCTGACTGCCGAGACCATGCTCAGTCACTGCAGCTCCTTGTCCTTACTGCACTGGACTTTAAGGTTCAGTAAGAGCGAGTCCTGCCTCCATTCCTGTTGAAATAAATTTAATTTCTGTGCTTCGGTCAACTGTTCTTGTTACTTGATACCCAAATTTTGGATGTTTTTTCCACCAGCAGAAGGCTGTATGTGAGCCCGTGTTCAGTTCATGCATCTCCTCCTCCAGGCTCTCCATAGATGGCAGCAAACCTACAATCCCAGGAGGACATACAATCATAGAATCATAGAATCGTTTAAGTTGGAAAAGACCTTTAAGATCATCCAGTCCAACCATTAACCTACACTACCAAGTCCACTCTAAGCCAATCAAGGGTAGACTAGACTAAATCATGTCCCGAAGTGCCACATCAACCCGTTTTTTGAACACTTCCAGGGATGGTGACTCCACCACCTCTCTGGGCAGCCTGTTCCAATTCTTGACCACCACATGCTGCTTATCAACAGGCTGCCCAAACACATCAAACAAGTGTTCCCAAAACAAAAGGCAGTAAAAGGGAACTAAGGCAGGGCTGCAACTTTTCCTTCACTCCTTTGGCAACATAAATGAATCTAGCTGCTCGTATACCAGAGGCCCAAAACACCACCAGCAAGATCCACAATGATTCAAATCATATTCAGTGATGCATACATATCAATTTTGGATCAGGTATTGCATGAGCATGGAGGGAAACAATTTTACAGGAGAAATTGATTTAAATGGCTCAACAATAAATGAAACAAAATGAGCTGTGAAAATATGCACAAAGTTTTGGATGTCTCTTGGGTATAATTTTATTTCAAAGACACCAGTATTTTGCAGGCAGAAGTTATGTTAAGACTAATTTCCATTTGTGATGTCTCTCATCAATTAGAAGGTTCTTCCTCAGATAAATCATTAATATAGGCATATACATGAGGGACAAAATAGTTTAGGAGCATTAAATTAAATGAATTGGCCCCACAAGAGTTTGTTACCTTTCCTAATACAGTTTATGTCCCATGGGCCACAGAGCTGTCTCTCCAGCAGCTTCAATACATTCCCTCTTACCTCTGTGCCAATGAAGCCATCTAATTTATTTAGAATTCTCTAGGCACAGCGTTTTCACTTTTCTGATACCAAGCCATAATTTCTATTGGTTTTGCTACTCATTTTTAAGCTACAGTCTAAAGAGGAAAAATCTCTGTGGCTTCAATTTACTCATCTTGTCAGTCAAGGCATTCTATGTAACTGCTGCACAGACAGAGAGCAGGCTGTTGCCCTGATGGTGGGAAATAAACTACATGGTTCAATTCTAGTTAAATGATTTAGAGCAAACACCACAGCAAAGATGTGGGAAAGAGGTTGAAGACCTCTTCCCCGCCATCCTCCCAAAAATGCACTCCAACATGCTGCAGAATTTCCTACGGACTTCACTGTATATTTACTAGGATTTTAGAGCACTCTGGCTGTAATTTCCTCTTTCATACTCACCTACACATTACGCATGTGAGCTCACTCATTTCTCTGCACACATATGTGCACAATACACAGATGTGTCTGCTATAACAAGCTCAATACTCCAGAAAATATGAAATCCCCAAGCTGTAGAGAGATGAACAGGCAACCAAACTGAAGCAACTCTTACCAGACTGGATATAGGTAAATAAGCAGACTAGTTATAGAAAATGTTCCTACAGCTGTCATGGTTGTGTAGCTACACTTTACTCTTAGCTGAATCAGAGTTAAATTTGACACTATTACAGTAGGTAAAGCATCAAATTTGGAAGCATATCAGGGCTAAACTCTTCTTAGGGCTTGTGTAATCTTTTTGTAGATTTTTTTAGAATCTGCGTAACTTAAACACTTAAAATGAATTCATTTTTCTGTCCAAGGTATTATATAACTTTATAATTATGTGATCTTTTAAATGCAATTAAAAGATGATAATAAAATCCACATCTGTTTTTCTACATAAAAAGTGATACAGAACAAAATAGGAAATGAGACAAAATAACTAAAAAGAAAAATCTACTAATGCAAATGTAATGTACCATCAGCTCACAAGTCTCTTTCCAAACAGCAGCACTGAGACACCAAAAGTGACAGTGAAATAATACACTTCATCAGCTGGTAAATTCAATTTTAGAGGGTATCAGCCACTAGTAACTTCCATGGTGTGTGGTTTTAAGAAGCACAAGCAGTTTGTACCACTCTCGTTTTAGAATTTATTCTCATTATATCAAACAAGAGTAGAAGTTGGATGAGGAAGCTCAACAGCAAAAAAACCCTGACTTTTCTATTTAGTCATCAATACTGCTGACCCATAAGAGATACGACTTTTTGCATAAAAATTTCCAAGGCAACACAAATTTAGTTGGCTGATATATACTGAACCTATTGTATCAGTCAAACAAGAATTAAGGCTTTACTGTTTCTTTTTCCTCTGTAAAAAAAAAAAAAAAAAAAAACTGAAGATTGTATTTGTAGGGGATTTTTGTTTGCTTTTTTAATTAAAATATGAAAAATAAGACCATTCAAAGCTGAGTATCACACAAGGTTGTTAAAGAAACTAGAACATACAGGAATATTGTTATTCAGGTGTCCCAAATTTTAAACCTGTATAAAGAAACAAGGCTAGAACAAAGCTATGTTATATAAAGTGAACACATGTTTTCAGTGCATACTTGTTCCACTGGTAAATCCTTGAGACTCTTGCAACTACAGTATCACCAAACAAACACAGATAAATCCATCTCCCCATGAATTCACCTCCAGGACTGTCTTGTGCAAAGTCAAATGCACTAACTGAGATTAATAAACTAGTAGAATAGAAATAACCTTATTGGCTTGTCCGTATTTTAAACTGCTACAGAGATATACAAAAGTAAATGCTAATCTTTACAAATATCTATGTGCTTCATGAATGAACAATTTCTCCTAGGTGTTCTCTTGATTACTCAAATACCCATTGAATATGTGCTAGATAGCGAGATATTGATGGATCTGTTTCATTAGCAATCGGATGCATCATTGAACAGCTCAGAGCAGTGGCACACATAACCTCAGCAAATTAAATCAGGACTCCTACACAGATGATTTCCAGTTAATTTACATTCTCCATAGGCATTTAAAGTGACACACTTTGAACATGGTGCTGATGTTTGACCTTGAAGACAGTTCTTTTCACAACATACAGTTTTCAGTGCTAAGATCAAATACAAAACTCCCTTGTTGCCTTTAAGTCACACTATGCTAGTGCCATTTGTACTGCTGTGACTGCAAATTTCAGTGACTGGATGTCTGGGGATATTCACTTCCTTTTGCACATTATTTAAAATAGTTGGCACCAATTTCAGTTCATCAGTGGTTCTTCTGATTTCACTTCTTAGTCATGTTTTTCTTTTAAGGCTAACGCATTTTAGTAGTGAACTAGTTTAAGATTCAAGATCTGCTCGTTTCTAACAGTGCTACTGTTAAGAATAATGATCACAAAACATAGACAGACAAGTACCTTGCTTTTTTCTTGCTGAAATTCTATCTGGATGTTGGTTAGTTTAGTTCGTAGCTCCTCATTAGCAGCTTGCAGGGCTTCAATCTCCATGTCGGACTTCTCTCCCTTGGCACGACTTTTCTTTGACATAATTATTTTTGAAGTTTAAAATAAAATTTTTGCTCCACACTGAGCTACCAGCTAGTGCCTTCTGCTTTTAGCATTTAAGAGTCATGTAGTGTTCAACAAAATCTTTTACACAAATCTGTGCCATCATGGGAGCAGTCTCTCATGTCCTGGAAGAAACAAAGTAGTGGGAACATAATTAGGCTACAGCATTGAGCAGAATCAAACAGCAGACTCAACATCCAGTTTTAAAGCACACTGAGCTTCCTTGTAGTGTATACTACATTGCACAGTGTACTAGACTTTGAAAGAAATAGATCAGAAAAGAAGTTGTTACACAATATTCCATCATCTTATCTAAACCCTATCCACTGCAATCTGATGTCCACACAAATAAAACTCTTTACAATTATGATGAATATAGCATATAAACATAAATCATATCTTATTCAAGACCCGACTTGGCCTGTGCTCAGGATTCCCAAGAGGCACAGGGACAACCATAAATTAGCTGAGTGTTTCTGGTGTTTCAGTGGGAATAGTTTATTTCCTGTAGCAAGAAGAAAGCACTTCTCACCTTAATGTATCAGTTATAACGTATTATTCATAATTATCATTGAGTATCACAACATCAGGATATATGGAAAAGGTATCACAGAACTGGAAAAACGTTTTAAAATTACTTCTTAAAAATATCATATATATAAACTGCTTATGTTCAGGGTTGATACTGTTTGAAATGGCCTAATCGAAACATGAAGGTATTTAACTTCATTTTCATCCCCCAGCATGCCTCTAAGCTTAAAAAGTATTCCATTATTTAAATCAGCTTTATGTAATATTCAAGGAGAATATCAATAGCAGACAACGAACCCTAATTCCAATAATTAGGAAATCCCACAATTAGTTTGCTTCATGAGTAGTTCTAAGAAGCTTAATCTGTGGCTTTTTTTCCTCTCTATTCTCCTCTAAGAATAACCTGGTGCTCCACAAGAGCAAACTGAGCACGAAGTGCTATCACTGCTGAATTCGTTTCCAAACGCACGTCCTCTGCTCATTTTAAATATCCACATAATTTTCATCATTAAATTGCTGACAAAGCAGAGATGTTCCTACTCTAATACTGAACTACATTCCTGGAGTATTCCAAGAAAATTGCTCCCAAATTGCCTTCAAACAGTAAGTTGCTCTTTCCAACCTACTTCTACCTGGGAGTTATTTTAGAAATTGTGTTATAATGAAAATCACATGCATTCTTTAGCACATACTTTCTAAATCTTTTGAACAACTAATACCTCAGGTGGGTACAGACAAACACCATTTGGTGAGTTCAAGTAAATATGTAAGTTTTACTCTCTTTTTTAAGGACTGATAAACAAAAACTGAGGAGTTAAATATCTTGCTCAAAATGACAAGTCAAATCAGATGAAAAGTGAACAGAACTCAGGACACCAAGTCTCAGTCTGTTTGAAAATATTCCCATGGAGTTCTTTCATTTATTAAGCAATTGAGAAAAGACCAACTATACCAATTATTTGCTAAAGTAACTTAAGTGAAATAATTGTTTTGCTTTGTAATATCAGATGTCTTTCCCTCCGAACTTAATAGTCTATCAATTTAATACACAGTTTAGGAAAAAACAGGAAACTGAGTTAAAATTTAATTTTATTTATGTATCAAACCTACCTTGCAAAACAAATAAGCACTGGTGCTACTGCGATTTTACACATAATTGTTGATTCAAGAAAAATAAATTAGCAATATTCTCACAGTAACTTGAAACAAAGAACTCTTCAGTGAGTAGAAGGAACTTGAGGAATTATTGTTCTCAACAAAAGAATTTCATGCTATTAAACTGGAGTTTCTATGATGCTAAAGACTAAAACTAAAGACTATTTAATCAATATATTTAATTTAAACTCCTTAACTGTATGGAAAATTTGAATTCAAAATCAGTTGCTAGAGTTTCTTCCCTGGTCAATTTGCAAAGAAAATCTAAAATAACATAGATGTGCAAATCCAATCTATAGTAATTCCACAACATTTAGAATGGTGGAAGGGGAAGTTCCTTATCTCAAAGGCTATCTGGGGTATCCAGATACTGTTGAGGAATTATTCCTGAAATCCTTACTAAAACAAAATCTGTGATGCAGCCAGATTATATACGATTTAATTCAGTAGATGTTTAAATAAGTTAAGGAAACGAAAAATACCCCTCACTGGCCTGGCTACATGAATTTTAACCTCGTTAGATCCCACCTCCATCTCAATTACAGTTTGGAATAAAGACCTTCTAAGTGATAGAGAGGTTTGCTTCTCCATCAGTAAAATGATAAAGTGAGGTAGCTGTGCTTGGTGCAGATATACATGACATCCAGAGAAATTAAAAAGAGATTTGAAATGTAGAGTGTTTTGAAATTACCATGTATATTTTGTTCAGTAACAACAATCTCTCCTGACCGTACCATGTACCCAAGCGTATTATGAAGATACTAGACCATTCAGTATGAACATCTAAACTTGTAGTTATGCACTTCAGGGGATGGCCTGTCTCCAAAGTCCTGGTCATGTAAAACTCTCAATGCCTGCATAGTTCATATTCTATCCCAGAGTCACCATCACTCAAACCCTTCAAAAAATAAGGCCCTACGGTAAGGTACCAGAGTAATGCTGTTGTCCACCTTTGAAAATGTGAGGGTCTAAATATAATACGAATTATTTAAAGCTGTTTAAATTACATTTAGCACTTAGCCTTAAAAATAAAGAGTTCAGCACTACTCTTTGAAGTATTCTTTAGAATTTTTTTAAAAAAAGAGAATCTCAAAACATTGTTCTCAATCTCTTTCCTGTAACTCGCAACAGTTAAAAATTGTACCTTAACGTAAAATAAAAGCTCAGACCCAGAATCTGAAGAAAATCACCCTCTTCTCTTATAGGCATTAAGAAAAAAAAACCCAAACAAACAAAACAAAACAACCCATCAACCTGCATTGGTGAGCAATTTTTACTCTATCTGAGATAAATCTTCCAGCCTATCTATTTCAAAAGCAGGAACTATGGCAACACAAAGCCTCTCTATACACTCAGAGAGGCACAAAGCCCAGACACATAAGGGCTACAGCAGAAGAGCATGCATCTTGATTCCCAAATGAAAGGGTTAGAACCAGTGAGTGCCTAGACTCCCTTCTAGTTGACTACCCACATTTACTGTTTGGATAAAGGTCAGGATTTAAAAAAAACAAACAAACAAACAAACAAAAAAACAACGTTGTAAACACGGTGAGAAGAAAAAGAAGGAAAGAATATTCTGCTCTGACAAAATTTGACTTTACTGGCTCAGAAGTTTCAACCAACAACCTATTTATTAACTCACTGTATGTCAGTTCAGAAGCAAGTTCATGAAGCCACCACAATACAGCCCCGCAATCACTCCATGAATAAAAATAGCCACTTCCTGCGCTGTGAGTTCAACAAACTTATTGCAAACCTTAAGATCATTTGAATACATTTTATATTTCCCAAAAAGAAGGATAGGAAAGAGTAATGGATTCTAAATCACAAGTCACCTTTTCAGCAGTCTCTGGAACATACCAAGTGTCTCAATTTATTTGACAGGTATAGGGACCCTTGTAATTCAAGAAAAAGAACAACAACAAAAGAAATAAACTTGATTGGATTTGAATCAACTGTTCAGGGGGATTGGCGTGTGAGAGATCAAAATAGTTAACATGATTAATAAATTATTACTCCATTTGTGTTAGACGTTTTGGGAAATCCATTAAATTTCTAAGGTACTTGGAAAACCAATCAGCTGAACCGTGTTCCAATCATAACTTCCAATTTCTCCTCTATTTGCTTTACAGATTTAAAGGATGCACTTTTATCACTACCTCAATCTCTTCCCTGGTTTCTAGCAAGAAAGGCCTAGAACTAAGTCATGAATATTGATAATTAAATATCAATAAAACATAACAGTAAAAAAAGAAAAATTAATTACTGAAAAAAAAGGGAAAGTCTATCATCAAAGAATTTTGATTACTTAGGAGTAAGAAAAGAAGGAACTTAATCATTTCTGGTGAAAAATAACTCCATTTAAAGAAATGCAAGTCTTTAAAAATGATTCTGTACTGAATACATGAAAATAAGTGGAGGGTTATATCTTTAGAGAGTGAGTCTGACACTAATAAACAGTAATGAACAGGAATAGTAAGGACACCCATAAACTCAAGTAATAAATATGGATGAAATAACATGGTAATAAGAAAAATTTACTAAATGGTCTCATCCGAAATTCAGCATTCCAGTCTTGATTCAGACTTGAACAACATTATTCAGCTTCAACATGATTTTTGGAAGGTGAAGGGAGGTGGGAGGGAAGCTTCTTCATCTAGACAATTCACCTCCACATAAATAGTGGTTTTTTCATTTTACATCAACCTTTCTCTTATAATACTGCAGAGCCTACTATGGGTTACCCATTAACCCTTATTATGCTTGTGAACATGAGACATAAGTACGCTTAATACAGCACAAGTCTGAATATTCAAGAAGTTTAAAATAAATTTTATTACCTTAGGACCTGACAATAGTAAATGCAGTGGACACAGGTACAATGTTAACTTCAGAAGTAACTGCCAGTTCACCTATGGTATAGTTTAAAAACCAGTCCTAATCAAACAGTGACTGTATGGGAAAGACAACGTTCATAGCTCTCAATGCCCAAGGTGCATTTCTCACATGGTTCAGATGACCTACATTTCCTGCTTTAATTCTCAGTTCTATGTAATAAAACATGACTGAATGGATAAAAGCAAAAGCATCTCTACAGGTTGTAAAATAATACTTTTCCCAGCAAAAAAAAATACAAATTATCAGAATAAATTTCAAAGTATATTGTAGACTAGTCATATTTTAGATACCTATTCGTTAGCTACCTACAAAGACAAATCTATTTCTATACCAGTAGAGCTTTTGAGCGTTATTTTAAATCCTACCCCACCTAGGGAAACACAGAGTTTCCTTAC